AGAGCCCGTCTGTGATGGTCGGGGCCTTCCCCAGGCGCCTCAGCAGGGACCACCGCAGCGCCCCGGGTGTGAGCCCAGGCGGGGCTCAGAGGCCGCAGCACCGCGCGCCGGACACGCTCCCTGTGAAACCGAGGCCGCCCGCAGCGTCCCGGGACGCGTCTCACCTCCACCATCTCCCGGATCCTCACGCCCGCGTCCCTGAGCGCAGCACAGCGCTTGGTTAAGGCGTTTGCTCTCCCCTCCAGGTCCAAGAGCGCTCTCTCCTTGTTGTCTTTCCTCCCGAACAGGGGAGCGGCCGAGCACTCCTGCAGGGAGGAGACGAGGGGGCTGCTCCGAGGTGCTGGGGGGGGGAAATCCCTGCAGGAGCCCTCCCGGGAAGACGCTCCTAAAGCACCGGCAACGGTTACCTCCAGCAGCTGGATGATGTGTTCCCTGTTTAACTTTGCTTTCTGGACCCTGGTCTGCAGGTCGTGCAGGACCTCCCTCATCTCCTGGATGTACTCCAGGACGCCTGGGGGGAAAATGCCGGTCACACTGACACCTCCCCGGCACCGAGCCCCGGTCAGGGCGCCCCGGGGTATCCAGCACGGGGCGGAGGACACGGGATGCCCCCCCTCACCCACCCACTCACACCTGCGGGGCGGGGGGTCCGCGCTTTGGGTGTGATGGCCGTGGGGACCTGAGGGCAGCCACTGCGCAGGAGACGGGACGGGGCCGGGGACCCCCCAACAGGCACAGGGGGTGGGTTTGTACCTTCGTGGTGCCAGAACAGGGTGTGCTCCGCGCTGGCCAGCCGCCCGTCCACGGCCTCCAGCTCCCCCGTCACCAGCGGGAGCTCCACCGGCAGCAGCTTCTGCTTCACCTGGGGAGCCAGCGTGCCCGCGGGTGAGCGCGGCGGGCGGAGGAGGGACCCTGCCCCAGCTGCCACCCGCACTGCTTTCGCAGAGGAGTGGGGTCCCCACCCCACTGACACGGAGCTCGGGGGGCGGAGGGGGCCGGTGTGATGGCAGCAGCAGCGTGGTGGGACGGTGATGTGCCTGCTGTACCCCAACCCCTCCAGGCTTCCAGGACCCATTTCATAAGAGTCTCTCCCCTGGGGGGTCCCCAAAAAGCAGCTGGGTGGTCTCCCCCTTGCAACGTGCCTCATTGTACCAGCCCACGATAAGCTCCAGGTTGTCCACAAACATTTGGAAAGTCTCATTTTGAGCAAAGAGGCTCCCGGCGCTGCCCGGGATGTCCTGCTGCCCCTGGAGGTTCAGGTACTTCACCTCCCGCAGGACGGCGACGAGCTGCGAGGCAGAGAGGCCGGAGAAAAGGCTTGTTCGTAAAACCCGAAACGTCTCACCACAGCCTGGGACCGTCGGGTTTACATCCAGGTGAGGGATCCCCGCGCCGGGCGGGCTGCCCGCGCCAGCACCCACCTCTCTGCTGAAGTTCACGCTGAGCAGGGAAGAGCCGGGGTCCCTGAGGATCAAGGGCTGCTCCAGGCTGAAGTGGCAGTCCTGGCCGGCCCCGCACACCCACTCCTCGTAGACCTGCTCGCGGTGGCCCTGCAGCAGCCCCATCACTTCTCGGTACTTCTCGGACACCAGCGCAGCTTCAGCACCGAGCATCACGCTGTGGAGGTCATGACAGAGGCAGCTGCTGCAGCAGGGGCCCGGGAGGAGACACAGGCCGGGCCAGATCCTGCCCTGGCTGCTGCCCCGCGCCCCCGTGGGGCGTCGGGGTGACCCGCACGTACGGGTGGTCGATGGCGAACAGGTCCCTGCGCGTCCCCTCCAGCCGCTGCTGCAGCTCCAGAGCCCACTGCAGCTGCCCGGCCACCGGCGGCATGTTTTTGTGGACGGTTGGGCCCCCCCAGCTCCGGGCGTCGTACAGCACCTTCACGTTCTCCAGCTCAGCCTTGAACATGCCCAGCAGGGCGGAGTAACAGGGGGAAACCTCGGCCTTTATCAGCGGTCGCTCCAGGAGGGAGGAGAACATGTGCACCAGCTGCGGGGAGAAGAGGCTGTGACACCTCTGACACCCCCGGCGGACCCGTCGAGCCCGGGGGGGCTCCTGTACCTTCACGGCGGATGCCAGGGAGTTGCAGTCATCAAAGCCTTGGCGGAAGATGGTGGCCAGTCGCCTGTCCACGTCCTGAATCTTCTTCTGGAATTCCGCAAAGTCTTTGTTCAGTTGCTGCCAGGAAGAGCAAAATGATTTAAGCGGGCGCAGCCTCCGGGATTCCTCAGGATTTGCTGAACCCGGAGAGCCCGGAGCCCCGTGACGCCCCGGCGCGAGCACGGTGCCCGCTGCACGGGGCAGCTTTACACGCAGCTCTTCCAGCGTGTTCCGGCAAGAGATTCTTTTTCATGAGGCGAACACTTGGCGCTCACTTACCCCTTCTGCAGGATCCAAGGGATCATATTTGCAATCGGTAAAAGTCTTGGTGATCTCAGAGACCTCCTCGTAGATCTGAAACACTTGGCTCCTGAGGATGTTTCCTCTCACTCCTCCCAGCTCCACCTTCCCCAGCTTCAGAAACTCCGCAGCGGTGTCGTACAGCTCCTGGCCACACAAACCGTCACCTCACCC